AATTGCGAAAGAAGAACTAAGTTAATTTTGAATCGAAAAAATATTCAGTCATCCGTGTGTTTCTACTTGGTTGCAAATTTCCTCCCCCTATCCAATTTGAAAATTTGTTTTTAAAGTTGAGTCACATTCACTGTTATCTAGGGGTAGGTAAGAAATATTGATTTAACTATTTATAAAATTAAAATTTTCAATTTTTGTCGTCTTCCATTAAAGTGATGATTTAAAGACAATTTACAACGGTACCCTTCAAACCTTTATCTGAGTAACAATAAAGAAGATATCCTCGTTTTTTTCCTTAATAAGTGTCAATTATTGTATCTGTAGCATAATTCCGCAACCAACTCTAACATAAGAAATCACAATTAATGATAATCAATTTTAAGCCAAAATAATAAAAATATCTCATTCATCTTTGAGAAATCATTGATCTACAGTTCTAGAGATTAAGAAAAAATAGCTAAGGTTGCATTTAAAAATCTGAATGAATAAGTTCCAACTCAATATGAAGACCAACAAATTCTATATAATGTTTTAAATTTGAGATTGTTTTATGTGTTAGCTCCTCTTAAACTATACTTCTCTAGAGTGAAATCAATTATTTTTATTTTACTTTTTGGACCGCGCATCCCCCCCCCCCTCCCATCATTTTTGTCCATGACACTATTTTTTACATCGAATTAATAATATTTCTTTTGTATTAATTCAGGGTTAGATTAGGTTAAGACAATTTCTGAGCACTGCGGCTAGGACAGATTAGGGGTCCAAGCCCATGAAGTTCATATGAGATACACGTACAAAATTGATAGGAGGAGGGACAGGGGGGAGGGGGTTGTGACTAAAAAGCATTCTCTAAGAAAATACCATGATATGAGTAGTTCTGTCTGCGCTGTTCAACAACTTTCCGCACTGTTCAATAATTCTGACCTTAGCTTTGTTGTTTTAATCATTTTTTCATTTTACGGTTTATTAAATCTTGAAAAGAAATTCTTCATCGATATATTGATATAAACGCTGACAACTGCATTTTTAAGGGTGTCTATATTTATGTATGTATGTATGTGTGTAAGTATGCGTGTATGTAAGTGTGTAATTATGTATGTTTGCAAATATGAGTGTATGTCTATGTGAAAGTATGTTACCTGTACTTACTTTTCTAACACCTAGAGAGAAGTAACTTGCATTATTGCCCGTTTAGACACAGCTGATGCCTTTTCCCACCGATAATTGACCATTTTTAAAATACCATGGGCAACGGGCAACGTCGGTACTTCACAGAGAATATTTACGTTATCATTTCCTATCTTTCATCAAGTCAAATATTGGATTTGATGTCATAAAATACGGACATTATCATCACATTATACACAGAACCCTTCTATATAATGTCTTTTATATAATAATTAACGATGTTTTTTATTGAGATGTTTATGAACATTTTTTCCTTTTTTCTTTTAAAGCAAAATTTCAGCTTCAGTAGAAACTTTATAGGTAACTCTGGAGGAAACTTTGGCGGAAACTTCGTAGGAAGCTCTGGAGGAAACTCTGGAGGAAACTTCGGATAAAACTTTGGAGGAAACTTTGAAGGAATCTCCGGAGGAGACTCTGGAGGAAACTCCTTATAAAACTCAGGAGGAAACTCTGGGGGAAACTCTGGAAAAAACTCTGGAGGAAACTTTGGAGGAAACTCCGGAGGAAACTCTGAAGGAAACTCTTAAGGAAACTTTGAAGGAATCTCCGGAGACTCTGGAGAAAACTCCTTATAAAACTCAGGAGGAAACTCTGGAATAAACTCTCGAGAAATCTTTGGAGGAATCTCCGAAGGAAACTCTGAAGAAAACTATGGAAGAATCTCCGGAGGAGACTCTAGGGTAAACTTCGGATAAAACTCTTGAGGAAACTCTAGAAGAAACTTCGTAGGAAACTCCAGGAAAACTCCGGAGGAAATTGTGGAGGAATTTCCAGAGGAAACTTGGATAAAACTCTGAAGGAAACTCTGGAGGAATCTCCGGAGGAAACTCTGAAGGAAATTTGATCATGAATAAAGTAAGAAAAATTATATATTCTTGAACCAGATTCAGGAATAAATCTGAAATTTTCTAGAATATATCTTCTTTGAGTTTGAGGTTGCAAAATGTTCCCGGGGAAAATGTTACTACGGAATTTGGGTTAGAGCGGGGGGGGAGGGAAATTATAAAATTATCAAAGTCACGATTAAATTATTAGACAAATACAAATCATTTTCAAAAATACGTTCATATTTATTATTTTATTTGTAGTGTCTCATCTTGCATTTCAAAATTCAAATAAAACCGTAATCTGATCAAAAACATGGAAGAAAATGTCTATTTCTGTGAATACAGCATCATTTCTTTTTAGACAGAAATGCGCAACTCGCAAAATAAACGAAACATGGATATCATTATCTAATATATACTTGATCAGACAAAGTTTTATGAGTACCTTTGCATGGAGGGTCACATTCTTTGCTGAGGACTTCGAAAAGATAAAATAAATAAATAAATAAATAGATAAATAAATAAATAAATAAAAGATAAAATAAACTATGATTGATGACTGAATCATATTTAAGTTAATCAGCACTGGAGAGGAACTGAGCTGGGAACTTTTGAATGGTGGATATCGGGATTAATCTTGATCCACTCGTTTTCTTAATCTCCAGATTAAATATTGCTTGCTTTCCTCATGAATTTAATCTCCAGATGAATTAACCGATCGGGATTAAGGATATCATAAAGTTTTCAGCTCTGAACATTTAAAAAAGAACAGAGTTCAGTTAGCTTATAAAGGAATTGAGTTTTTGCCACAAACACTGATTTTCTAATCCCTATATCTTTGCAACCCAATGTTGTAAACCTCAATATTAATTTAAACTATTAATTTTGTCAGATCAAATAGTTTGAAATATCAAAGGTCTCTAACATTGTTGCAAAGATATAGGGATTAGAAAATTGGGTCTATGGCCAAAACTCAATTCCTTTATTAATAATGTTTAAACTAAAAAGTGTATTTAAAGTTTCATCTTAAAGATGTCACGTTAAATATTATTTTAACATTTTAGATTATTTTGTTATTATAATTATATTTTATTATTATTATTATAATTTTATCCCATTTTCAAATTCTGTTGAGCCTTTTGCTGTTTTAAAACATTAAATATTTAAAGAATTTGAGAATTTGAGAATTTGAGAATTTGAGAATGCTTTAAAATGGCCGCCTTTCAGAGCAACAGTTAAAAGCTATATTTATTTACAAGAAAGGGGGCGCGAAGCGTCTTTATAGATTTAAATATCCAACCAAACACACTGTTCAACATAGTTAAGGCTTATTAAAGGTATATTGTCTGATAAATGAGGTTAAGGCTTATTCAAGGTATATTGTCTGATAAATGAGGTTAAGGCTTATTAAAGGTATATTGTCTGATAAATGAGGTTAAGGCTTATTAAAGGTATATTGTCTGATAAATGAGGTTTTGCTAGATTTACACAATTTTTCAGGTTAATTGATTTCATTGTGCATTTTGGAGCTATTGAAAGCTCAAATTTTTCTTCTATTAAAAATAATTAAATATTTTAATGACTGACGTACTTTAGTAAAAATGAATGAAAAGGTTCGCAATCCTGAATATTAAATATATATTTACGAAGACTGGAATAAAATGAAAATTACGGTTCAATGATTAAATATTTTAAATTTTAAATTGGCATGAAAATTATTAATAAATTATTTTCGTGAAAAATTCTGTTATTTTCCAAATGTTTAAGTAGTTTATAAAATTTTTATAAAATTTATGTTTTTACAACGGATTCTCTTTTGATATAGAATACTGTTTTAACAAATATTAGGATGAAAGAAAGAATTGTTGGTATATGTAAATAATGAGCCTAACTATGTTTCTGAGAACTAGGAGAACCAATGTAACTATTGTATCTATTGTGTTCAAAGAGAAGAGATTATACGGGGATAGAATTAGAACCTTTTTCAGAAAATGTAAATTTGTAAATACATCAAAATAATTCTCAAGCTAAAGAAATTATTCTCATTGGTGTACTATTGAATACCTTCTCTCATTGGAGACCCCGATGGACGTCTCGTTAGAAACCCCCGGATTCTCGTTAGAGACCCCTATATTTTCATTGGAGACCCTATTGTTTTCATTGGGAAAAAATCTGCAGGTCTCCCATGAAAAGCTTTGGGTCTGATGATGATTTCTTCCCAGACTTGTCAAATTAAAGTAAATGTTTTCAATCTTAACACCTCTTATTAAAGAACAAAATTTGTGTATGTTTAATATGAAACCAAATAAATTTGCATGTTTTATGCTTGTGCATAAAATCAAAATTTGAGGAGCTACGAGATCACAAAGACGTGTGATGTGGCTTAAATTTTACATTGTCCTTCTGCATGTCTAGTTTATAGTGTAAACTTGAATGTTAAAAACGGTTTCTTCTTCCTAAGGAACAAAATTTTTGACACAAGCTATGATTTTTTAATCTCTATATCTTTGCAACCCGGTGTGATAAACTTTTGATATTTTTAACTTTAAAATCTGTTAGATCAATCAGTATAAGTTTGACATAATAAAGGTTTGGACCGGCCATCAGGTTGCAAAGATGCAGGGATTAGACAAATTGAGTTTGTGGCAATTAATTACATTCCTGCAGCGTGAAAAATAATACTTTGGATGTTCACGCTGTTACACTTTGAAATCATTGACAAGAAGATTATCTACTTAGAGGCTTAAGCACTGGGGCTCTTCATGCTTCTCTTACATGTTACTATTTCAGCTTTTACAATTTTTTCACGGAAAAATTTAATTTCGACAAAAAAAGCTATAAGCATTCCTTACTTGGGTCAAGTCATGCGAGATGCCACAAAAAAGTTTAGATCCGATCGGTTTCGGATACAGACATGAGCAAGCGAGCCCAATTAGTCTATATTATATTGACATCGTATTTTGGAAAATACGATTTAACTATTTACATTACATTTTTTCAGATGAAATGCTATAAAAATGCGGATAACAACGACACAATCACTTATTAAAAACAAAGTTAAAGAATGAGAAACCTAAACAAATCATATTTGCGTAAAATTAAGTATTTCTTGTGACATTTTAAAACCGTGTCGATATCTCAAAAATCAAAATGGCGTCCGTGTAACCGCTAAAACAATGCGTGACTAGCAGACCGGGAAAATGAATGCTTTCTTTATTATTTTGTGTGGTAAGTACATATTGACTATTGAGTATATGTGTATATAATTATTGATGATACATACATATTACAAATTACTACAGGGTGACCCCAAAAAAGTGTGATAACCGTTTTGACAGAATTAAAATAGTCTCAAATATTTTGAACCATAAGATTCTTTTCTTATAGGAGCTGGAAACCCGCCACAAAGCCTAATTTTCTAATCCTTTAATAATAGCAACCTGATCTCGTATACTACTGATATTTCAAAAGTTGAATTCTGCCAAATCAAATTTGAAAAAAAAACTAGATTATATCGAGTATTTAGTTCTTTGCTACGTATCTATACTCAATAAAAATATATAACAATAATGGTTTTCATTGTTGCTTTCGCAAACCTTAGAAATTAATTATCTCTCTGCATAGCAGCAAAATAGATATGGCCCCATTTCTTAAACTGATTTCTTATCTTGAAAAGATTTGTATGCTAATTATTTTTTCATCATTGTTTTATAAAACCAGCTTTGTCTGGAGATATAAATATTTTTTATACATATTTTATAAAACATCTTTTTTTTGCCATTCTGCAAAGTTTATATATGTTCGGTCCAGCCGTGTGACCAGCTATAGCTAAAATATATATATATATACAAAGAGCTATAGAATATTGAAGAACAAAAATAACCTTTTAAGTTTTACAATGAAAAAAGTAAACACTTTGTTATTTTGAAAATAGACCAATTAAAATAAAAAATTCCCAAAAATCTGAAAATTATTTAAAAAATTCTAGTATTTTGTTAATAATTCAATTAAATAATTGAATCAGAATATTCAATATGCATGTTTATATATGAAATACAAAAATAATAAAAGATTTACAATAAATACAATCAATGTCAAACCTATGTACTTATATCTAATTTCGAATAATATAATTTTATTAATAAATTGTTTCCGTTCATTTCTAATACAGGGCTTTTCATCATTTAGTGCAAACTGTATAGTACAAATAAATGATTGATCAGGCTAAACGGGACCGTACGCCCTTCTAGTGAAATTTATGTAATTCCAAATTAAATAAATGTATTTAAAAATCAATATTCATTAATTTCCAAATTATATTTACAAATATTTTGATGAAATATTTTTCATAAATCTTCAACAAATATTAAACATTTAGCTAGAATGATTATTCATCAATATTCAAGGTGTCTTTAAAAAAGTGGAATAAAAAGTAAAACAGTTTGATAGTAGCATAGTATAATAATAATAGTGCAAAAGCACATTGGTAAAATACATTTATTTGCATATGTTTATATTATATTCTCCCCATAGCTGGCCAAATGGCTAGACCAAATTGGCCGATTGTTTTTGATGGAACCCATAGATTCCATAATGGTTACGTAAAATATGATTTTTTTTGAAATTCCACTGGCAACGCCGGGCAATAATTTAATACCAAGCGCTGGTAAACGGTGTAAGTATCCATGACACTACGAATAATGATACAGCTACACCTGGAACGGGCAGCCGTAGTATACATTTGAATTTCCGAGCCGGGTCAACCTAGCTCTCCGATCCAAGTTTGTACTGTACCGCAAGGACATTGGGTAATAAAGCAGACAATCAACAGGACTAGCCGGTGCAACAAGGTTGACACGGTCAGACTTTATGCTTCATATATGTAGAATATACTTCTATTAAAGGGGCAGAGGTGCGTGCTGGGAGACGCCAGGCACTCCGTCTTGTTAATTACTATATTAAAATAGTACAATATTGTACAATATTGAAATAGTACAATATAGTACATTACTGCAATAATACACAATACATATTTCCTCCTGAAACACCTAATTTTGTATGTTTTTGTTGTATTTCATAAATAAATAATTACTTACTTACTCAATAGAAAAGTGCAAAAAAGCATATTTGTACAACTAATTAATAGCACAATGATAGTATAGTCAAATAATTACAAACTCAATCCTAACAGTCTTGTATGCCGAGTCCATTAGCGCCTGATCCAATCAGGATTCAGTCATGTGTTTGTTGTCTATTCTGAACCAATAGAAAAAGAAATGCGGTAAGATCTATCTTTCTATCTATCTTATTATTCAATCAGAGTTATGAATCCTTCAATCGGCGCTATCAGTAAATGGAAATATTTACTTCTACTGAAACTATGGTGAACAGTCTACTTTTCAGATATATACAGGGTTACCCACAAAAGATGAGACTGTAAAGACGACATGAAACTCCATACAATCGTCTCTGAAGTATCATCCTTTGTGGGTAACCCCGTAGATAGAATACCCATATCACGAAACCTTGCACATTTAAAAAAAAATATGGAAAATTGAATTACTGGGAATATTGTCGTTTCCCAAGAAGATCTGTGTCTGATAAAACGGATTTAACGATTATCTAATTTCCTTTCCTCCCTGTCTAGTTTCATTCAACTTGGATCTTCTAGGATCAATTTCCTTTTCCCTGAGTAAAGATGGGCATCGTTATTGTGAACGAACGAAATTTTTGAGAACGAATAAAATTGTTCGCGAACAGAGGTGTCGTTCAGAAATAAACGAACGACTAGGATCGTTCAGTGAAATAAAAAAAAACTTTTAAGAAAACTTTTATTTTTCACTAAAAGATATATTATTTTGAATTAGAGATTTTACGCACAATTTTAAAGAACAGAGAATTTAATGAACGTACGAATTTGCTAAACGATCGTTCAGTGAGAACACGAACGAAATGGATGGAAAATTAACGATAATTTTAAGAAAATACGAAAACAATTTTTTTGACACTTTTAAAACCCCCTGAAAAAAGTTGTTCACGAAGGATGAAAGAACGAAATCTAAAAAGCCCAACGAGTCCATCTCTACGTCTGAGTGCCATTATATAACATGACATCTCAGAAACAGATAAAAAGAAATACATAAAGATCAGCAAAATATTTCCACTTAGCAGCTTATTCAGTAATAACCATAAACATCTGGAATATTCAGACGACATTTAGACTCAAGTTATGACTTCAAATATTTCATTGAACATGAGACACAGGTTGTGCAGTGTAAACAGACCCATTTAAGTTAATATGTGATTAGATAAGTTACTATTTGCTGGGTAACAACATAAAATACACTTAATTATTGCTTCATTGTCGTCTTTCTATTCCACAGTTTCCTGGTTCTCACTGTAATGAAGATACATAAACTATTATATGATTCTATGTGTATCACCATATTTTATTGTATCATATTTAATTAGGTCAATTTCTTACAACACAAATATGTAGTTGTTTCTGCAATTATATTTACAATATGTAGTTGTATCTCTAATTATATATATGATATGTAGTTGCATCTGTATTTATTTATTTAATACGTTGTTGTATCTGTATTAATGCATATAATATGTTTTGTATCTGTATTATGTATTTAATATGTTGTTGAATCTGTATTTATGCATATAATATGTTGTTGTATCTGTATCTATGTATTTGTATCTGTATTAATGCATATTAAATGTTGTTGTATCTGTATTTATGTATTTGAAAAGGAAAAAGGAAAAATTATATTGTTTTATGAAATCAAATCGGAAAAGGTTTTTAGTTTGTTCTCAAATAAATTTGATATATGGTGTTTTTCAATATTTTTTGAAAATTTTAAATTTTTTTTGGTATTCCAATGGCTCAAAAAAAAATCCGCGAACCTTTTTTTCTCTCAAAATCAAAAGTTCAGAAAATCAAAAATGTGGATATAAACTATTTCTATCAAAATCTAAAATTTTATAAATATTGAATAGCAGAATCACAGAAAAAAAAACAGTTCTGGTCATTTATTTATTATTATTATTCATTGTTATTATTTATTACTTAAATTCTCTAGTTCCTTTCTTCTTAGTAAATTCTAATGTTGTACGCTGTTCAGTTGAAACTTGAAGAGCCATTGAAACACTTTTCCTTAAAAATTAGACTAGAACTGAAAATTGCAAATTTTCTGTGATTCTGTGTTTTAATCTTTATGAAATTTCAGATTTCGATTGAAATAATGTATATACACATTTTTGCTTTGGTTCCCAAATCTAGTTGTTTATATACAACTCTTAAAATTCTTTACTGCATTTCCACCTGCCAAAACCGGACTTCCTTATAAGCAAAAAAGGCAATTTAACTTCATGGTGAGATGATTTATTTCTCTATAAGGAAGGTTAGTGTATACATACAGTATACGATATACTGCATTCAGTACGCTGCTTATTATTCTTATCAAAGGAAAGAAAAGTTCTCAGGTACAGAGCGTCCCATATCTCCCATATCATATTAGATTATCTCAAAGCTTAAACGCCAAAATACAACCATAATACTCGAAAAAAAACTAGTATTTTCCGCAAGAAAATTCTTATATTAGCCTTATTCAAATGTTCAAAATAATTCATTCCTCTTAAATTTTCTGATTAGTCCCAAAAATCGTAATTTAGACCGACTGACGATCTAATATGATGTGGGACACCCTGTAGTAAGTAGGGTCATTTAACAGTTTGTTCACGTTGCAATTTACAATTTGTTATCAAAGCAGCAGCAGCAGTCATCAGTTCTTTCCGCTGTAATTTTAAACCTGCTAAACTTTTGTGTTCTGTCCTCTACATAAATACTAATTTGGGAACCCAGCATTGTCCGGAAACTAAAATTTCTCTATACAAGTCAACCCACTCTACTTAGCATTTTTGAATTCATGCGGTTCCAAATTAAAATTTGAGAAAAATTGGCATTACAGAACCATATTTCAATCAAGATGAGATTTAATAACTCACTATTAAAGCTCGTGTTTGCTTTGTAAAAACCTCCTAGGTTGGGAATCAAGCTTTCTTTGGATTTATTCTCTCAGCCTAGAGTTTTTAACCCAACCATGATAACATTCCAGTCGACCAGTTATGGCGAGTTCGTCGGTCAAAATTTGAGGCAAATAGGTCTAGGGGTTCATGGAGTCATGATCTGACATACTTACAAACTGACAAACAGAGATTACTGATTATATATATAAATATATCCATATTTCTATATTTATTGTTAAGGTTTGGTTTGTTGTGTTAGTGGATTAGTGCTGCAGCCTGAGGACAGGTTTGTTGCAAATTTGAAACTTTACAGAAGAAAGTTAAAAAGTAAGAAAGTGAGAAAATGAAAAAGTGAAAAGTGAGAAAGTGAAAAAGTAAGAAAGTGAAAAAGTGAAAAAGTAAGAAAGTAAGATGGTTAGACAGATAAAGAGTGAGTAAGTGAGAAAGTAAGAGAGTGGGAAAGTGAGAACGAGAAAAAGTGAGAAAGTGAACAAAAGTGATAAAGTGAGAAAGTGAGAAAGTGGGAAAGTGAGAAAGTGAGATAGTAAGAAAGTGGGAAAGTGAGAAGGAGAGAATATGAGAAAGTGGGAAAGTGAGAAAGTGAGAAAGTGATAAAGTGAGAAAGTGAGAAAGTGAGAAAGTGAGAAAGTGAGAAAGTGAGAAAGTGAGAAAGTGAGAAAGTGAGAAAGTGAGAAAGTGAGAAAGTGAGAAAGTGAGAAAGTGAGAAAGTGAGAAAGTGAGAAAGTGAGAAAGTGAGAAAGTGAGAAAGTGAGAAAGTGAGAAAGTGAGAAAGTGAGAAAGTGAGAAAGTGAGAAAGTGAGAAAGTGAGAAAGTGAGAAAGTGAGAAAGTGAGAAAGTGAGAAAGTGAGAAAGTGAGAAAGTGAGAAAGTGAGAAAGTGAGAAAGTGAGAAAGTGAGAAAGTGAGAAAGTGAGAAAGTGAGAAAGTGAGAAAGTGAGAAAGTGAGAAAGTGAGAAAGTGAGAAAGTGAGAAAGTGAGAAAGTGAGAAAGTGAGAAAGTGAGAAAGTGAGAAAGTGAGAAAGTGAGAAAGTGAGAAAGTGAGAAAGTGAGAAAGTGAGAAAGTGAGAAAGTGAGAAAGTGAGAAAGTGAGAAAGTGAGAAAGTGAGAAAGTGAGAAAGTGAGAAAGTGAGAAAGTGAGAAAGTGAGAAAGTGAGAAAGTGAGAAAGTGAGAAAGTGAGAAAGTGAGAAAGTGAGAAAGTGAGAAAGTGAGAAAGTGAGAAAGTGAGAAAGTGAGAAAGTGAGAAAGTGAGAAAGTGAGAAAGTGAGAAAGTGAGAAAGTGAGAAAGTGAGAAAGTGAGAAAGTGAGAAAGTGAGAAAGTGAGAAAGTGAGAAAGTGAGAAAGTGAGAAATTGAGAAAATAAGAAAGTGGGAAAGTGAGAAAGTTAGAAAGTGAGAAAGTAAGAAAGTGAGAAAGTGAGGAAGTGAGAAAATGAGAAAGTGAGAAAGTGACAAAGTGAGAAATTGAGAAAATCAGAAAGTGGGAAAGTGAGAAAGTGAGAAAGTGGAAAGATGAGAAAGTAAGAAAAATAAAAAATGAGGAAGTAAGACAGTTAAAAAGTTAGATAACTCTTGAGTTTAGTGGTTTGGTAAGAAATAGATTAAAATATGAAAACTATGAAATTCACAGTGATTCAAGTTGTTAGTTAAATAAGTTCTTTAACCTTCACTTTCAAACCCAATAGACGCAGATAATTAATTTTATTACTTGTTAGAGGGATTTTGATTGTTGAAGACGTAAATTAACTTATTTCGAAACATTTTATTTCACTAATTCCACAAGTTTCATCTTCAAATTTTGTTTAACGAAATGTATCCTTCATCAAAATTTAAACTACGGCTAGAATATGTTAGGGGCCGGGCCGTGCGTGCTACGGCTAGAACATGCATATTTACATTTCGACTACTTTCTTTTTTCCTTGCCTAACGTGACTACGCAAAAATTGCCATGAAAATTGCTGTAAATTCAATTTTATATTGAATCATGATTCAGTATCTAAGAATTAATGAAAAAATGTTACTGAAAAATCTCTCTAAATGATTTTCATATGCTTAAGTAAATCCCATTTTATTTTGAGAATCGAATTTTATTGATAAGATGGTATTAAATCTCTTAAACCGATTCTCTACACTTTAATTAATCTCATTTCGAATTTAAATTGGATTTCATTGACTGATCTCTAACGGATAAATTTTCTTAATTTAGACTTGTCATCCAGCAGTCGGGAGAAACATCTTTCTTTGTATCCTGCAGGTATATAATATTCATTTAACTTTATATTCCTAGCTTTAGAACCAAATTATCGTTTCCTATATTTGCATACATGTAAAAAAAGATTACAAAATGTTTGTGTTTCCCAAGGAGAATTGAATAGAAGGAGGGGGCGATAGGGTTTCCGTACATTGCTGTGACGTTTTTGGACTGCCGTGTAACTAGTTTTTGCGTAACAACAATAATAAGGATTGTAAACAATAACACAAATGATAAACATACATCTGGCATCTCTGGCGCGTTAGATGAAGATTCACCGTATACTAACGCATGTTTGTTTACATTAGATCGGCTGCCTTTATTATTGTTGTTAGGCAAAATTTAGTTCTTCAGCAGTCCAAAAACGTCACAGCAAAGTGTACGGAAACCCTTTCGCCCCCTCCTTCTATTCAATTCTCCTTGGTGTTTCCAATGGTTGAAGATATAAAATGTATATAAAATGTATATAAAATGTATATAAAATGTACATAAAATGTATATAAAATGTATATAAAATGTATATGAAATGTATATAAAATGTATATAAAATGTATATAAAATGTATATAAAATGTAAATGTATATAAATATAAAAAATCACTTTTCATTTCTTATTCTAATCTGCATAAGAGTTTAAGCTATGTCTTGCCAAAATCTCAAATTTTCGAATACTAATGGTGTAAAGATGTTAGGATTAAGAAATCAGAGTGTGTGGCAAGTTTGTGGCAATTATTTATGTAACAGATGATTCATAATTTATATTCAACAATCCGTAATTTTTAAAATTTTCTTATTTCTAATTAAACTTGTAATTACTCTTACTCTGGGGGGGAAAAGCTCATTAATAAAAAAGCAATTTACAATAAACTATAAAACTGAAAACTTGCTTCAAGCTTTCATTTTAAAATCTATTTCTGCAGACCTTTAATACTATATACAACGAATTTTACGAGATCAAAATTTTTGAGATACTAAAAGCTCCAGATTGCAAAGATATAAGAATTAGACAATTAGAACAAGGACAATAAACTGAAAGGGACAGACCGGCTATGTAAGTTAGTTAAACTGAGTATGCAGTGTTGTGGACAAATTCTTTAGGATTCATTTGAGACATATAAAACGTTTCCGCGATGTATAATTACTGAGTTTGAGTGCATAGTCGAAGTTTAAAATCATGAATTTGGGTGGGTACGCTTTCAGAATTTTTTTTTTTTTTTTAATTATTAAATACCGACGACAAAAAATAAAGTAAGATTTATACAGTAAACTAATTAGATGTTCAGGAACATATTTCTCAAAAATAATTTGTCAATAAATCAATGTAAGAAACAATTATTTCGTTTTCATCATTATATTGAATTTCTTATTTTCTATGAATTTGTTTGCAGATTTCGACAAATTCTTCAAAGGTTGTCTTTTCAATAAAAATTCCAGAAAATCTGCAGAAAATCTTTGTGAATAATCAGAGATTATAGAAACTAATAATTGAATAAGATTACTAATTTTCAATGATAATTTTTATTTTCTAAACCTATTCCTAAACAGCTAGTTAGTTTACTGTAGAATTTTGTACACATTTTTTGTCATCGTTATTTTATAATCAAAAAAAAATTCCGAAAACGTATCCACCCAAAAGGACAATTTTGAACGTCGACTTTGCGCTCAAACTCATAATTTACATATCTTAAAAAAAGTTTTTTATGTCTCAAATGAATCCTGCACATACTCAGTTCAACTACCTTACATAGCCGGTCACTCTCTTTAAGTATTGCTCTATTATCGTCCTCCTCTTTCACAGTTTTCTGGTTGTCACTGTTTTTTGAACAGAATTGTGATAGTTTGACATATCAAAGGTTTACGATATTGGGTTGCCAAGGTATAAGGATTTAATAGTTGGAGTTTGGGGCAAGAACTCACTTCGTTTGTTAACACAACGCCCTTGTTTCATTTTCCGATAACGTACGATCCAATCAGTCACGTGCTTGTTGGTGATTCAGAAATTGTAACGGCAGTAACATCTAGCTATCTATCTATCTCATCATCCAATTAGACATTAATCCTGAAATCAGTGCTAAACAGTAAACAGACTAACAGTATATTTCTACTGAAACAAGGGTGACAATGCATTGTATTAACAAAGGAACTGGGCTATTAACCAGTTCATAATTTAACTAGGGTTTATCCTAGACCTCTTTTTAATTATTTTAAACACTCCCTTTAACAGAGGAATGAATGGTCTGGAGAGAGATGTACTCTGGCGAACTGAAAAAGGTCGTATCTCTGCTGCTACCGGAGACAGAGTTCATCTAGAACCTTCCGTAGGCGGAGGAATAGATCTGGTTTTCAGGTAAACAGATTACAGAATGAGTGGCACTGGCAGCTTACGATGTTTTCCAGGGGGAATCCCCCTGGAATTTTGTACAATAAAATTGGTAATTTTTATGTAAAAAAAGTGTTGCCAAATTTTAGATTTTTACAGATTTTTGAATTAAATTCAAAAAAATTTTGAATATAATCTTTAAAATCAAAATAAAGGGCTAGAAGGTCCTTGCTCTCTCTTCTTGCATCCCTCAATTTTCCAGGGGAACGTCCTCCCCCCCCCCCCCCCGCCATCTTAGCATGTAAAACCTTGTGATAATGTCAAAAAACTAAATAACAGATTTTTTACCGGGACTTTTGCTAGTTCTATGAATTTGAACCAAAACAAGGAAACAAATAATAAAAAAAAATTTAAAAATCATAAAAACAAACTAAAAATTCTTAAAACAAACAAAACAATCTTTAAAATAAATCTAATTAAAACTAAATGTTTAAGATGACTATTAAGGCAGATGAAAGTTTTTCTTGGTATTTATAGAAATTCTTTTGTGTCTCAATCCTTTGTTTGGTCTGACAAATAAACGTTTCTTAAAAGCCTATAGCTTTAGATACAGTTTCAAGGATATAACTGATATGTATAATACAGAAAATATTAAGCATTAATTTATCATAGGTTTAAAAATATTACAAATAAATTTAACCATAGATTCAATATGTGATCAAATGAATAATCCTATTTTTTAATTGTTCATTCATTAGAGAAACTTTATTCAGGTCTGCACTACACTTAAAGGGAGTGTTTGCCAAAAATGAAAGGGGGTATAGGCTTACCACAAAAAGTATTTCACAATATTTTTTTTACTTTTATGATCTGATAGTTCCTTTTGAAAATATTTATTCCTTTTTAGAGGATTTTTGATAATGAAGACGACATTTTCATATTTTCCAGTAATGTTTGAAAATCCAGTGCCACCAAAATATTATTTTGAAAAACATGGTTAGAAATATTATGAAATATTAACCTTATACGAATGCGTCAAAAAATAATCGATGTCTATTGTTTGTAATATCTGAATAATTTGTTTGGAATTAACTTTCTGAATATGTATGCATAGTATGTTCTTCGGTATGAGTCGTTTTTAACAATTTTCTCCTTATAGACATAACAGATAAAAGTAAGATTAGCAGCGATCAAAAGCGCTTTTTATTGCATTAAGCCTATACCCCCTTTGTCCTAGAAAGCTACATTTTTAATTTAAAGTATTTTATGCTAAAATTTGATCCAGTTTGATTTTAAGCGGCCATTTATGCAAAGATGACAATGCCCTATTTACAAGCTATAGACCTTAGATATTTCAAACTATACATTCCGTTAGATAAAATAATTTTGGTTTGAAAAAAAAAATAAGTTTTACACCATCAGTAATCACAAATAAAAGATAAGAAAATTTGAGTTTGTGGCCCAGACTCCTTTCAAAGATATCATCATTTTTCTAACTCAAAAATTATTAAGTTCTGAGAATTTCTCCATGCACAGGTGACTTTTGCAGAGAAACCGTAAATGAAGATGAATCATTTGAAGAAATTAAAATTTGATTAATTATCTAACTCATACTGATCAGTTGTAGCTTTTAATAACACTGTTGTAAATCAGGCATTGCCCTCTTTGTATGGAGAGTTACTGAAAATTACGCTGACAGTCCCTTTAAGAAGTTTTGTAGGTTTACATATTTTGCTTTCAGAATTTCTCCTCTTCTGAGGAATACAATATTAGAATGCTGGATTGAATTAAATATTATTATTTAGGTCGATTGAGCAGGATGATCAGGGCCGGTATACCTGCTCACAGGGCGAGGACACTAAATTTTTTGATCTTGTTGTGGTTCAACCCCTGGACTTTAATGATACTCCTCCCGTCCAGATGGTTCAGGTATGTACTTTTTAACTTTAAAAATAAGTAAAATGTTTGTTCATGTTTCAGTTTTCATTTTAAAAAAGTGTGAATTAAATTTGACAATGAATTTCAGCGTAAGAAAACTTTTTGCTTTCAAATTATTAGTTTAAAGTTCTGTCTTTGAGACATTTAATAGATCATACATTTAATTAGCCTTTCTTTATCATTCTAGCAAAGTATCCCAAAAGACTATAATCTTATTATTACTATAAGGGACTGTAAGTGTAAGTGCTAAATTGGCAATGCCCGATTCACAACCGAAAAATAAAAGGGGGTATAGGCTTATGTCGAAAAATATTCGATGGTGATTGCTACTAATCTTACTTCTATCTGTTGCTTTACATGTTAAAACCAATTCATACGAAGAATATTGCGTTCATACAAATTCAAAAAGTTGCAATATTTGATTGAACTGTAAAAAAAAATTCTAAACAAATCATTCTGAATTTACAACCTATAAAACATCGATTTTTTTTGAGGGATTTGTTTATAGTTGATACTTCATAATATTTTTTATTTGTTTTATATACAATGCACTTAAAACGGCGATTATTTGTCCGCTGGTGTCTCTCCCACATGCAGAGACACCTGGCGGCCAACTAATTGTCGTTAATTGCATCACATATAAAAGAAATAAAGAGTATTATGAAATATCAACTTTATACAAATTCGTCGAAAAAAATTCACTTTCAGTTTCTTTAAAATAATTTACATTTTGATTTTTAAAGCTATACAATAGACATGCATTATATAATCTGATTTATTTATTTTACATATTGTTTTTACATATATCTAACAGCTTTATTTTAGTTGGGAAATCCTAATTTCCGGTTGAAATGTCGAGCTACTGGGCTTCCTTTCCCTACAATTACATGGAAAGTGAAAGGAAAGAGTATCAGGTAAAATTATAACTTAAAGGGACTGTTGTCATAACTCTAAATGACTCTCCATTCAAAGATGGCATTGTCCGATTCACAATAATTTCTTTTGATAAACAACAACATTTTCTGAACCAACTAGATTTTTCATGACCCATGGTATCAATCATAAACAAACAATGAACAAATTAATTAGATATGTCAGAGAAACAATGTTTTTTTATAGAAAGAACGAAGTTTGCATAAACTATTGTTTTTATTAAACAAACAATTTTTTGAAATTGATTTAAGTAGGATTATTATTAAAAGTGACAAAAAAGTTTCTGCTTCAAAAACAATAGAGCAAATTGTCAGAATTAAACACATTGAAACTACATACAATTACTTTGCTTAGTATTTTGTTTTTAACAAAAAAAATTTCCAAGTTTGATTTTGAAAATTTTCAAAATGCTACCTTTAATACAATTTTAAATGCACGGGAACTTGTTCAATCTAAACAAATTATTTGATTTAAACTTAAGTTTTTATTTCAGAAACTCTTTTGACAATCTAAATCAAGACCTGAAATATGAAATGGATGGAACAGACCTTTTAATCAGGTGGGCAATTGATTATCAGTGCATAAATTCAAGGTTTAAAAAATTTGTTAAAGTTCATCAAAGGGATGAAGTAAATTAATCATAAGATAAGAGAACTTCAAAATTTATAGTTTATATATTTTTGATAAATTTTATAATATCTTCAACAAATATGTTATTATCTATATACATACATATACATTATACAAATATACATATGTATAGAATAGATATGTATATATTATATACACGTTAGTTAACCCTATTCCCGCTGGGGGGGGGGGGGGTCAGTAGTTTTTTTTACATAACTCAAAAAGTATTGGTCTGAGGCTGTTGAAATTTTCTGACTTTTCTTACATACCCAAAGCCCTCCCTTTAGGCCTAAAACCGGGCTTTAATACTAACTGCCTGAGTCCTCAGGCACACTGCCTGAATGACTGCTTTTGCCTGTAGCAAACTAAATCTTTGTTTTGACCCACTTTCACTTGTCAGATTTTGATAAAATTTAGCTTTTTGGAAAGCCTATGACATAAGGAAACGGATTGCCCAAGTTTTGCGAAAAAAAATTGCAAATTTTTTGCAAACAACCTGTCAAAGAAAATTTGCACATTTTTAGTTTTTCTTGATTAAAAATCAGGTTATTTAAAATTTTGCAAAAACTTTTGCATATTTGAAATGGCATGGTCAAGGGCTTTTCAAAAATGTATAATTTGTCATTTTTTGGACAAATTTTTTTTTGCAAACATTTTTACTATAAAACTGGATTTTGCAATAAAAAATTCAATTTTCGCAAATTTGCAAATTTTTTTGCAGATTCTAAAAGTAGAGCACAAGAGCTTTCTAATGATGTATCATTTGTCATATCTGGACATAAAACATGGGATTTAGAGGGGGGGGGTCAAATTGACCCCCCCCCCCAGCGTATCCTGGTTTTCAAGTACCCCAGCGGGGATAGGGTTAAGAAAAAAATGAAATATTTTGATGTTTCATTGGACTATGCATGGAAAGTTCCAATTTTACAAGAACTATTAAATACCAGAATTAAAAATTTATATATTGAAGGATTTCATGATTACTTAATACCTGAAATGATAAATATCTTATGTAATGAGTAATGATCAATGTCGCCTATTTGTGCAGAATCTTATTTATTTTATTCTGTAAAACTATATATTCAAAATATTTAAACAAATTTAAACTACACCATTTTTATGTATGTATATCTTTATATACATAAATCTTTATAATATAATATAATCAACAGAAAATAAATGGCATAACATACTCACAGCAACCAACTGTAGTTTGTTAATGCAAATAATAATCATAATTTACTTTTTATTATTCTAGTTTAACAATAACTGCATTAAAAATATAAATGCAATGCAAAAATAGAGAAAAAGAAAGTTGGTTACTTGAAAGTGGAAAGGAAAATAAAAAGTAGAAATTGTAACAATTAATTCTACTCTAAAAAGTTCTCGAAGTTTGTACAAAGGTTTGAACTTTTGTGTGGAGTGATATTAATCTTAAACTCTTGATCTCAATATCCAATATGGGCATTTTTAAATTTTAGGATAAATGCTTGATTTCTCAATTAAAGTCATCCCTATATGGTATCACACAATAATGGAAAGGAATTAAATTGATCCGGAGATTAATAACAAAACAGTTCTAACTTCAGGCTTCATTGTAAATGCTGCAGAATACTGCATTATTAAACAATAACCAACTCTTCTTTTTATAGAAATATTGAAAAATCTGATGAAGGCAGATACCTTTGTAAGGTAAATATTTATTCCCGTCTTTTACTAATATTTAAATCTATTTAAATTCCTTAAATGTAAATCTTTTAAAAAGAATTTTGTAATTTAACAAAAACTGAAAATATTCTTTTATCTAAATCCTAATTTTTAGGCTGTGCAAACTGTATATGATGAAAACAACAGTGTTCTTTACTCTGACTTTAGAGATAATATAATAGATCTTAGAATTGAACGTAAGTATTTTTCTATCATTTTCTTTTCTTTAAATTTAACAGATAGTTATAGTTGCTATTCATAAGGGGATTGTGACACTGTCACCCTAAAATGTTGATATGGATATTTACTATGTTAAATCTTTTTGCACTAGATATCAACATACTGATTAATATGGTACCTTGATGAATTGTTGTTTAGAATAAAGGTTCACTAGAAATGTTGCTTAGATATGTTTATAATATAACTCAAACTATTTGCATATACTACAGCATGTACATTGTACATATACACAAACTGTCGCGAATACTTTTTTAAAGATTTAGAAGTGTAATGCATATATTACCATATGTATGGGGAACTTACATTTAATTCATCTAATTGTAGTACTAAGAGGACTGGGCACCAGCACATTTAGACTTTTTTCAAACCATCAAATAACAGTTAGCTAATATCCTTCAAAGGACCACCTTTTCAGATATTCGTTGATCTTAATTAAGAACTAAACGTTCCATTCAGTTATTGGTGTTAATTTTTTTTAAGTTATGATTCCTTAACAATTTCAATCTTAATATATTTAAAAATTTTAACGATTTCAAAGTAAACAGACTTTGCTGTTTGTTAACAACATTTTTTGCTAATACATGTTTAGAGAGTCCGGAATGGTTGGATGAGAATAGTGGTGGACAATTCTATGGATATGTTACTGGAACAGCTAATCTGACCTGCCAAGCTGAAGCAGAGCCTCCTCCAACATTCAGGTCAGAGCTAGTATTGCTTAGCATTTTTTTAATTGAACTGAAAATCAATTGTTTCTTAGATTTTTCTAAACTTTTAAACTTTCAAGTGGTAAAACTTAAAAGCTGCTTGTTTTGATATTTTGAAATACAAAAAGTTAAAGAAGGATACCGATTGTCTAGAACCAAAAAAGAACAATATTTTTTGAAAAAACTAAGAATAAAATAATAAAAACTCGATTTGTATATCATCAGAAACCACAAAAATACAATGAAGTTGTTGAACCATAGTGTATTCTCACTTTGTGTATTAAAATTATTGATATTTTGTTTTCAAATTTGTTCTTTTTAATATAAGTTCAATATGTCTTGAAAGGAACTTTTAGCTCTTCTCTTAGTTATAGATTTTTAATTCAAATACTAATGATTTTAAAAGCTAACATTCTATATGTTTTAGATTTTTGATTGCGGTTTTTAGAAGTTTAATAGACTTTAACAAAGTTTTATGAAATGCTGTATCTTTTCTGGCTTCATTTAACCAATTTAAAGCAAAAAAGTAGTGGCCTGTTAAAATTGTACTTTATTTTATATAGGTTAAATAGGATTTTTCTAACAGTGCATTACTGTTAGACAGTTTATTGTCTTTTTGTTATTAATTTTATGCTTCACCTCTATCTTTGTTTTTGTTAACAAGTTAATATCGTAAAATTAACAGCTTGAAGAAAACAATGTATATTATATAATTTTTTTTCTCAGTTGGTTAGATGCTCAAAATCTTCCCGTCAAACATGGAACAGTTGTTAACTCCGAATATAAATCTACTCTTCTTTTAGAGGTAAAATTCAAAGTTGTTCTGAGATCTTTTTGTGTGGATATTGTTAATCCAATATCCAAAGGGGGGGGGGGGGCTGCGCTTTTTATTTTAAGGATCAATGTTTGATTCCTTATTTAAGGTTATCCTTGGAGGGTAAGACCAGCATGGTAATAACAATGAAGAGTTAAATTAATCTATAGTGATGCATTAGATGGAGATCAATGCTTGATCCCCAGATCATCAAGTTCTGACTTCTGATCTTAATTTTAAAAGTTTTTAAATCTTAAAATGCCAATTTCTTAATATTTTTGCTGATAAATTTATTTATTTTACCTAGGTTACTCATCATAATATTTTTGGGGCATATACATGCATTGCAGAAAACCTTCATGGACGTCTTGAAAAGGTAAATTGGGAAAAAGAGTAAGAAAATTTTATTTCTTTAATTTGGATTTAAATTTAGGGATTTGACTGTATTTTTTTGTAATAACTAATACTTTAAGGATTTTTTTCATGTCATCCCTAAGTAAATAACATGAAACTACTACTAAAAAATGAAATAAAAAATATATTGTATAACGCCATGGTACCATATAGCATATATGAAACTTTGTGATGATCTATTGAACACACAACTAAATACACCCCCCCCCCTTCCCCTTCTTCTAGTTTCATGTTTCAGTTCTTTATTTGGAAAGCAATATGATTTATGGACTTACACAGTGCAAATCTTTCAAGAAAACTACAAAACTGAAAACAGTTTTGTTTTTATGTCTATAATTTTTTTTGTTATTTTAATGTCCTGTCTGTCTGTTCTATAAATTGTGTTTTGCTCTTTCTAAGATTGCTCTTTTCTTATTGAATTATTTTTTAAAGGGTAAATGAACTATAATTAACTCAATTCAATTTCAAACTAAACAATTTTTCTATTAGTTATTGTTGTATATCTTATAAAAAGATAATTATTTATTAAAATAAATGCTACATAGTTTTCATAGTTAGTATTGAGTCTGAGAAGTTTAAATTGCCACTAAAATTGAAAGATCTAAATATAATATCTACAAAAGGTATTTTTGTAAAAACCATTTTCATATCCATTGTCCGAATTTAATGAATTTGAGCCGATGCCTAAATCCGCCAAAAACCGGTTTCAATTGAGCGCCGGCTTAAATCTTGAAACAAAAAATACAATTTTCAGTGGAACCAAACATAATTGAGCCGCGGCTTAAATTTAAAACTCGGCTCAAATTCTTTAAATTGTGCCTCTGGTAATATATATTTATAATTTCAAGGTTGTCATGCTCAGCGAAGGGGCTAAACCAGGGACCCCACAGATTAAACCAAACAGAATATTTGGTGACAGTATACAACTCAATATTGTGGTTAGTTTTAACATTATTTAGTAATTTGGGACAAACATTTAATTCAAGAAAACAGAAATAATTTTGGGAAAGTGTAAGTGTAGATAAATTTATAATGGCAAGATTGTGTTAATCACTATTAGATTTATCCACTTATGTCATAATTACAAGCTTATTTCACTAATAAATCACTGTGAGCTAGACAGAGAAGGAAATACTCAAATTAATTCGACAAATATAAAAAAGTAAATATATCAGTACATGTTAGAAATTAAAAACATTTATGTTCTCGGCCTCAAGCTCTTTTACTAAATCTTTTGTGCAATTAACTTTGGATTGACCTGAAATTTTAGCATATATATAATTTAATGTATGATAATCAAAATCAAATGCTGCTTGTTAAATTCAGTTGTTTGTGAAAAAAAAAATTTCATTGGCTATCTTGATTTTGTTTTAAACACATCTATTCTTTTCTAATTTAGATACTGTAAAACTATTTCCTTGTTTTATTAATTTTTGATTTTACACTTGAAATTTATGAAGCAGCTTTTAAAAAAGCTGCTTCAATTCAAAAGGAATTGAGTTTTTGCCACAAATAGATATTTTCCTAAATCTTTACAACTTAAATGTGTAAGGTTTTAATATTTCAAACTTTCACTTCTTAATCTACCAGAAATAAAATTTTTATTTTAAAATATTAAAGGTCTACAATATCAGGTTGTAAAGATATAGGGATTTGAAAATCAGAGTTTGTGGTAAAAACTTAATTCCTTTAAGTCTCATTGGCTGGAACAAGCTAGATATTTAACTGGGGAAAAAATATTCAAACTTCTTTTAACACTAACAAATATAATTTTCATACAAAAATGATAAACTAATTTAGAATTTTTACATCAGTTTATCTGCAAAGTTTAATTAATTATAATTTTATACACTTTATGAAAACTTCCTAAAATGCCTTTATTTTTTTCCACATTTATATTTTAATCTATCAAAACTTACAAATCTATGCTTAGAAACCAGCAGCAGAACTTTTCTTACACATAGAAGGATTTCAGGTATTTGAGTTTTCATTTAACATTTCATTTCATTGTATTAAAAGTTTTTTATAAAAAGTATCAAAGTTTGTTCAAATACTTTTATTGGATGAAGATTTTTGTTACTTAAAATGTGTTTAAAAACTATTATATTGTAAATTTCCAGTGTAAAGGTTTATTTTTTTGCCTTTAAAAACTTACTAACTTTGAATTTTCTCAACTTAATTTCGAATATTTGTTAGAATCAGAAAATTAAGAATTGTTTAATTAGGTTGAAATCAAACAAGCAGATAAACCCTGGTCAGAAGCATCAGTTTTACAATTTAATCTGGGTAAACATTTAAATCAAACCTAACTATTGCAAAATTTTAAAATAAACCATTTCGGGTTTTGAAAAAAGTGTTTTTTGAAATCCAATATCATTAAAAGTAAATTTTTAGCTTATTTTTTGCATTTAACAACATAGTTGAATTTAGCTTATGCTTGTTGATCTCTATATCAATTATGTACTGGCAAAAGCTGAAGTGGAACCCCACTTGAATGTTGTTGTTCAAAATCACTGAACTCTTGAGTGCTTCAAACTTTCATGATCCTTTTTTTACCAGTAATCTGTTACACACATTAACACAACTGAAAACACCTTATAATGAAATGGCTAAAATCAAGACAAACAACAAATTTTAATTGAGAACCCTCTTTTAAACGATATTTCTCTTTAAGCATACATTCTGTCATCTTAGAATTAAATAATTTCTACCAACTGGAACCCTTCTGTGAGAGAACTTTGATTTGATGATTTTTAATTAGAAATTATGATAATAAAATTATAGGGAATGATGATGTGTTTATAATCCCTGGATTAGATCAACAAACATTCTACCATGTGAGAGCACGATCTAGAAACAAGGCCGGACTGAGTGATCCCTCAAACATTATTTATCTTAAGACTAATGGTGAAATACCATACCAGGCCAAGATAGGGCAGCCCAGCCCAGCAGGAAGTATACACTGTGAAATCTACCTGCTTTCCCTTGCCGCCTTAGTCCTTACACTATCCTGGTGAATTGAACCATGCAGTGAAATATCCAAATATCATATGGTGGTAGGCGATTATACTAATATAATGAAGACAACTTTTTATTTAAGCTTTATTTGTTAACGAGCTTTTTTTGAATTACAAGTTTACAAGTAATTAAAGAGAAGATTTTTTAATTGACAGCTTCTCTTTGTTTCCATGTCTTTGTTTATTCATGCTGTTTAAAGCTGGATATAGATCAAAATTGAAATCAAAAGTCGGCTTTATTATATTGATTTAATTGCCTATGACTGTAGATAAACTATTCAACCAAATAAAGTCCAGAGCAGGAAACTTTTGGCTGAGAAAGAGCTAAGCTGACTTGTCTGATTGATTGTTCGTTTAACTCTTTTTTAATCTGTTTTAACAATACTGACTTCTGATTTGCAGAAATTGAAAATTCTAAAACTAAGAGTGGTTTAAAACCAAAATCATGACTAATGAGAGAGGAGTCAATATCTGAAATAGTTAAGGTTACAGTTCTTCACAAATGAGCTTAGCTTATTTCCTAAATCAAAAGTTTCCATGCTCAAAAGTTATAGAAACATATTAGTAAAAGCAAGTTTATTTAAGCTCTAGTATTTGTTTATATTAAATAATTAGCTTCCAAAGCATCATTATAAGCCTCACAAAATACAGTGCTCACATCATTAAGGCTTAATTTTTATACTTAAATATTATATTAGTAATCATTTGTTGTACCTAATGTATGCCAAAAAAACAGTAGTCTTAATTTACTATATTTTTACCCTAAAACACATCAGAGTATATTTAGGCAAATAAATGTTATGTTCTTCTATTGTGCACAAATCCACATACTCTTTTAACCAACAGATATTTAGTAATATTAAAATGGTGAAATCGTAAATCATAGGTTATGATATTTAACACATAAAAGTTCACAAAAAAAGAATTGTAATATCTTATTCAGTAGAATAGTATTTTTATCAAGGTAAAAGTTTAAACTTAGCCATCTTTTATTAAAAATAAGCCATAACAAATATTAAATTGTTAATTTTTTTTCATGTTTATCACAACGCCCTGAGTTTGTAATATACACAGAGATAGCTGTAAATAATAAATAATGATTCTTGTTTTGTAATATATATATGTATATATACATATAAATAAAAAGCTTAAATAATCCCTTGTTAACTATAACGAGAAATATATGAAAAAGAAAATATAATTCTTTTTACTTTTTTTGTTGATAATATAGTGTTTGTCACTGTAGGAAAGATTAGGGCAGTGGGCTTTAACATGGCCACTAGATAGATTAGAATAGATCGCTAATGCAAGCTGTAATTGGATAAATTGAACTACCCTCTGTAAACTACTACCCCTGAGATGGTACAGGTTATTGTACACAAACAAATACAAACAAAACTCAGATATCGAAAACAAGCAGCAACTGATCTTCGTTCTAATACTCTGAAATTCAACTTTCAACTGGTCTGTCTCAACGTAGTCATTAAGGTATTGCATGGAAGTGAAAAGTTTAAACTGTATAAATTAGTTATCTATGAGATTGCAATTTTTGGCATATAATTGCAAAGCTGAAAAAGGAACTGATTACTGTAACTCTATTTTGCAACCTGATGCATAATGGCACACAATGATACTCAAGATGTTTACTTTCTCAAATAAAAATCATGCAGTATTTTGCAAACTACTCCTTTAAAACTTAAGCTAGAAACAGACACGTAGTATTCATAAAAAATATATATGACGTAAAGGGCATAGAAAAAAAATAATAGTGAGTTTTGTTGTAAAACCAAAGGCAAAGGGGACCATTGCTTAACCAGGGTAGATACGTTTGGTTTCTACAAATTGAATTCAATTGCATTTTGGTTTATAATTCAACAATCTTTAAATTTACACAGTTGTCCTGTTTCTTCAAGTAAGTTTTTAAAAGTCAAAGCCTGCTGTGTTGAGGACCAGACTTATCAATCTGTGTGTAATTGTGTGACCATTTCTTTCCATTTCCATCTCTCAAAAACTTTAATTCGTTAACATAATTTTGCCCAGTCCATTCACCATTTGAAGGGAGTTTTTGTATAGAAAAAAATGAAAATAATATATTTATTTGGTTTTTGCCTTTTTAGATTTAAAAAAGGCTTTCCGTCTTTAATTCATTGAACTGGATTTCCAATGTACATGATACATCTCAAATTACAAATAAGTTGGCACCAACTAAATTGTTACTCCCATGCCTATTCAGGGAAACTTTTTATCAGAATTTTATGCAGAATAAAACCCTGCTGAAAATACAGAGTTACCCACATAGATTGGACGGTATAGACAACATGAAATTCTGACAATTCTAAGGTAAAATGTATTCTTCATTCAATAAAGAATAAAAACTTTCAACATACTCATACTTTCTACAAAGATCGAGAGTGCATATATCTGTTTTCATGATTACATTGAAAACCAGCAAAGTTAAATACAATGTCATTAACAATAGCACGGAAAATATATTTCCTGGAATATCTTTTTATGCAAATGCCTCCTGCAGGGTGTATATTTTCTTGAGTAATCATTTCGCCCCCCCCCCTCTGTTAATTTTCCAAAATCATTTTGAGCTTCAAAAATGATATCCAGATTGCCCCCACAGCAACACCACCCCTTGGGACCAAATTTAAACTTAGTGTTTGTTTAAGGTTCAAATTAGAGTTTTTTTATGTCAAAATTACGTAGTGAGGGATTTTTTTTTGAAATCATCAAAACCATTTTAAAGAATTCTATAAGGAAAAGTTAAATATTTCAAAATATTATTCTAAATTTAATATATATATATATATGTATATATTTGTGAAGTATTAGGAAGATTTGAACAAAAGGTTAATGATAGATTCTTTAATTCTTTAACAAATTCTTTAATTTGAAGAAGATTTTAAGGTCAAGCGTTGGAAAGTATTAATGAAATCAAGAAACATAACAACAATGTAATGTTTAGTAACCAAACACTTCATACATGATTAACAACATGTGGAGCTTAACTCACCATGTGCTGCCCCGACCTTTTGGCCGCTAGAGTAAGATGAACAGTAGAAGTTAGGGTACGCCTAATGAAAAAGCCCCCTCTAGTGAGAATAATGTGACATCACATAGAATTTAAAAAAATTTTAAAAATTTATAATTTCGGATAGGGGCACTGTTTAAAATTGTTTGAAAGGTCTTTCTTTTAGAATTTTCAGATGTTTTCTTTATTCAACATTTAAAATACATTTAAAAATTGAGATTATAGAATATAGTTGGAAGACGCCAACACTCATTTATATCCTGAACTGACACCAAGTTGGCACTCTCTCTAGCCTACATGAAACAGAGTTCTGGATATAGGATAAAGAATACAGGATACTGGATACAGGATACAGGGTTCTGAATTTAGAAGTTATAATCCCTAGATCTTTGCAACCTGATGTTGATATTTTATATTTCAAACTTATTATTTGATCTAACAGATATCATGCGTAGTTTTATGTATCTATCTATGGTCTACACTATCAAGTTTCAAAGATATATGAATCAGGGAAAATAAGAGTTTGTGGCAAAGAATCAATTTCTTTAAAAACATTGTTGAGAGGGCTGCAGAATTTTGTTTTCTTTGTATATCTTTGAATTTGTGTTATTTTGTGTTTCTTGCATTCCATTCTAGTCTTATTAAATATTATGCATAACAAAGCTAGATAGATAAATAAATATACAGAAACCTTTCCTATAGCTTCTTTAAAAAAGAAAAAGAAGGTAAAAAGCTTTGAATTGAAGGAAAAGACTCAATTCACTAGAAGTTTATAATGGAGGACTTAAATTCCATTAAGAATTAATTCAGTACCTTATGAAGGGTTAATGCTATTTCTTCCTAAAAACTTAGTTAATTTAATGACAACTTTTTACTCAACACGCTTCGCGCCCCAAATTTAAGTTGATTAAAAATATAGTAGAATTAGAGAAAAAAAAATTGGGTTAGTTTAAATATTCTAATGGTTCATCTTTTTATTCTAACAATTTTAACTTCGAGTTGATTTTAACCCTCCCCCCCTCACCCTTCTATTAGCATGGAGGTGTTGAGAAGAAAGAAGATGGTAGAGTGAAAGAAAGTTGTATTCCTAAGAGAATGAAGATAGCTAGATAGCTAGATTGCTAGATAGCTAGATAGCTAGATAGAAAGTATGGTTCCTCTTTCAGGATTCAGAAAGAAGAAAAACATCAAGTTTTCTACACAAGTTGGAAACACATGAAAGAAACCCTCAGTTGAATTAGTGAACACACAGACAAAAAATAATCTCCCCCCCCCCTCCCCTCACCGTACCCCTTGAAATTTTGCGCACAATATAATCTCTCATTGCATGGTCGGAATGTAGTAAATGCCGTACTCTTAAAACTTCGTCCAGAACTGTATCAATCCAGGCACAGATCATTCTAACTTTGCTATCAATGTCAAACAGAATACGATCTCCTCAGCTATTAATGTCAACACGGACACAAGCTTGTAATCTATCAATGCCAAACCAATGGGCATGATCTTAATCTGCATTATGTTAAAAAATGAGCAATAAAGTCTTTATGCCATCACTAAGATCAGAAAGATTTACAGAACAATCATTTGCAATGGAAAATAAATGTCTGCCAAGAACTGTGTTAATATTTATATCTATATTTTTATATATTTAATAGCAATCTATAGAGTAAAGTGCGTTTTATGCTTTTAATTAAGCTTAACTTTTCAGATTTTCACGGAAAATTTTGGTTGGGTTAACATCCCTGCTTGCAATGATATTAGGGTTGAAAGAAAGATAAAGCCAAATTTCGCAGTTTTTTTAATATAACCAAATAACGCACTTTCCTCTACATTTATAACAAAAATAATGTTGTACTTTATTTCTGAGAAAATTCCTGATTTGCTTCTCAAAGTTTACAATTGAGACTTTATTTAATTTCTCAAGTTTCCCTATAGTTGAATTCTTCAGAAATTCAACTTCCACAATAGGAAGTTCAAATCATAAAATAAACGGTGACATATATCTATAAATCTATATATATATATATATATATACATATATTTATTCAGTTTCAAAT